CATAATATTGTAGGTTTGTAAGACGAAAAAACAAATGGCCATGCGGCGCCCTCTTACACCATTAGACCGTCGCAAACGCAACGCGTTTAACACTATGTACTTATTTATATGGTATTAAATTTTAATACTTATTAAGTCTGACAACAGTTATTTCGAACGGCGTGTATTATTATACAGAGTATTACAGATCCAGTACGGTCAGGAGTGATACAAGATATWGGCAGTGATGATTCCGAGCCGACAAAACAAAATTGATCACCAGAAACTTCAAGATAAATTGAAAAAATCACAATGAAACGGAAACTTGGCAGTTTATCCATCTTATCGCRAACCTTACACCCGTCCGATACAATAATGTTTTTACGTAAACGAAAATAACAGTATAATATTATTATCGCGGCATGGTCCAAATTATATTATTATTTCGTTTCCAATTTGTTTTTTGCTGCTGCATCGCGTTATTGTGAGTTATATGTGCACAGTATTGCCCACGGACGAAATAATAACGCACATTGTCGACCTGATGACAWCATAGTGCCTATAATGTRCAGTGATATACTGATATGCAGTCATATAATATAATATGTCACATAAATTAATTATTTTACGGACACAGGTATTATATTAAATCGTGTTTGTACGGCAGGTGTATACAATGTGACACTAATGACAACATAATATTATGTAAAATAAGTTTATTATATTCACCGATAATTCGAATGGTTGAAGAAACCACGATGATAATAATAATAAACAAACAAAAATACACTGGTGCGAGGCAGAGTAAAACTCGATTTGTATTATTGGTAGTTTTCTGGRGGCAATAGTTTTCCGTTTCGAATGCTGTCCCAAAACCATTGTGCGCACACGGCGGTGGCACTCAGATTCTTCTTTTTCTTCTTCTTCTCATCCTCCTCCTCTTCCATCAGCGGTTTCTAATTTAACAGACGTGAAATAATATTGTTCGTTATAATACAGCTCGGATGAATTTTTACTATCAATGTGGTGGGATACGGAAGTAACTCAGTCCCCCTAGCACCGATGGCGTCATGGCGCTAATAAGACATCCCCTTTAACCACTTCTTCGAACAGTATTAACACTGGTTCGTTGAGACATTTATACTATTAAATTAGATACCCGCAATTTTAWTGTAATAACAATGTTTTCTTCAACTAATCAAAACATTGATAATATAATATTTATCATAGAATATTCTTTAATGATCTAAGAATCTTAACGATGCTCATTGAAGATATTTCAAGATAGGTAAGTTAAAAGAAAATAATTTTATTTTAACATCAAAGTTATAAAATTGTTGYCTGGGCTGGTACGTTGAGGGATTGAAGCTTAAAGAGAATAACTTCTTCTCCGTTAAAATTAACTATTTATTTTCGAAAATGTATCATTTTATATTTTMTAATATTTATAAGTTAACTTTTTCAATTAAAAAAAACATATTAATAAAAATAATTGGCCTGATGAGCTTCAAAACTTATTAATTATTATATATATTAAAATTTTTTGGTGCAATAATGTCACAATAGGGAAATATAGGTAATTGTTATTCCTTTGGATATATAATATGCGAGTATTACAAAACTCTTTGTGTAATGAATTAATAAGAATAAAGAAAACATAATGTATGGGTCTAACTATATTTGTATTCCTACAAACTTGAAAATTTCAAGTGTCTAAGGTTATTAGGTTTTGAGTTAAATAAAATGGATTTCTCCAAAGATTAGTTTTGCGTAAAAATTTTCATTATTCATTAATTTTGTTTTTTCCTGGAGTTTTCAAACTCCACTTTAAATATTAAAATTTGACTTTCCGAAAGCTTCAATAAGTTTCTATTTTCATYAGAAAATGTAATAGTGTCAAAAATTGGWGCATGTAAACTACCCAAGTGTTGGYGACACAATACATTTAAAATAATTAATATGTTTACAAACACAATACATTTATCGCTACACACAAAACCTAAAATACTAAGTATCAGTAATTAGTAATAAACGTATTTAAAAATTTTAAACTGATTATTTATTACGTATTTAAGTATAATAAGTATTAACATTTAACACTTACTTTAGATGATCGATTGTGCTCTGTTTTTGTAATTATAATATGCGTTGGTGATAATTCATCCGTTGAATTTAAAGGTGTACCTCCGTAGCTACATTTTTGTATTAAGAAAAATAAAATTTAAACAAAATAATTTTTCATTGTCAATATTAGTTACAATATCAAAATATTTTATTCTATAAATGTCAATAAAAATTAATCGTTAGGTCAAAAAACTTGAAAATTTAATGAAGGTTCCTTTATAAGTTGTTATAGAAGCAAAACATAAATATTAAAGATCTATTTAGGCGTGATTGTTTTTTTTTTATATAAGTCTTTAACATTAAAGTGTTGAAATTTATCAAAATCACAAAAATTATAAAATTATTTTGTAGTCATAAAATTATAAAATGTTCAATATACCTATTTTTTACAGATATTTTAAGTTTGAATTTGGACGAAATCATATAGATACTAAAACCAAGAATAACGATTTTAGTGATTTTGTTGCAATTTAAAAATATTATTCATGGATAGGTTCACTTAAGACTACATTATTATATATTGTATGCGATTTACATAAATTCTATTATATTATGATATTTTTAAATGCAATTTTTTCGCCAAACATTAATTTAACCTA